TTACTAATTCTTCACACATTTCACATCGATCATTATGACCTATCAAAATGTCCGCGAATTGTATTTAGATCGTAAATCTACATTTCAATGAAAGTTGTGCTTCGCGTGGCAAGAAAAGAAAAAAAGGATCAAGATTTGACTTTTCCTCTACCACCACTGCCTAATCCGCCTATTCAAGAGGAGCTCAACAAAAACCACCATGAACATAAACAATGTAAGTGACCCATCTAGGAATTAAATGGCAGAGTTCCAAAATGTCTGCATTCACTGAATTCCGAAACATTACTAACACGCCGCCTGCTTAGATCTCACCGACTACCAGTATCCAAATCGCTCTTTTTGGCTTGGCACTATGCATTAGGCTATTCTTCGCGCTTCATTAATGAGGGATTATCTTTATTGGGGAAGGGGACTATTGTTTACGTTCCCAGCCTATTGTGGGAAAGTTCGGTCCACAAGTGCCGAATGATTGACAAGCATCCAGGTGAACCATCAATCAGGAGTCATGTGATATAATCTAGCCAATCATCTCAGGCAGTGTTTGCAGTAAACCAATCAGGAAGTTTGTTTGGGTGGGCGATCCAGGCACGAGCTCAGTGTGTCCACGTGTGTATGTTTACATAATTGTTGTACATGGCTTTTCACACACTGGATACAGGGCATTGAATTAGGATAAAACCAGATGATTATCTTTCGAGTGTTCATTGTTCGTTCAGGTACCACGCTCGATTTCATTCTATCATTAACTCATCAAGTTCGATTGTATCTCTATTTTTGTCAGCTTTCATCATGACTTCCGTGAGCTCTGAGTTTGGAGCCGTGACAACAATTACCAACCATCTACCTCCCATCTCTTATGGCAACGCTCCGAGGCAGTGCTGCCGTGAGACCGCGTTCAACAGCTACGACTGGGAAATCAGCTGGCTCTTCGGCGCTGAACTTCTAGGCTACCCCGCTCGACACGCGATGGTTGAACGCCCACCTCTCCCGCTGTCTCCTTGGGTTAGCCCACCCTTACCCGAGGTCTGCTGGCCAGTTGTTGAGTCCAGAAGGGGAACACCGATGAGCTGCCTACCGCCCCACGACGGAGTGAGTGACTTTCCTGGGGGGTTTGCAGCACCGTCATGTCAGCAAGGATACCTCGACGTGAACAACAACTGCTGTTCTTCGATGTCGCCTGCCCCTTCTCTCTACCCTCCACCGGAGCTCCTGTCATCCCCCTTTGTTCAACCGAGCGTGCCTGTTGGTGGAGCTGGAGCAGGTAGAGTCCTACCGCCGTTCAGCTGCTTCCTGAATCCAGAGCGACAACTAATGTATCCTTCAAAGAACAAACCGACATCAACAACAATGACATTGCAGCTGCTGCCGACGAGCAAGTTCCCATGGTCACCTGCTCCTCAGTCTCGGAGCGCTGGCCTTCTCCTATTCCATCGCCACCATCTGACATCGCCAGTGACAACCCATTCCCGTCTCCACGCATCCGTGAGATCTTAAGCGATTTGCTACCTCGCAGACCCCATCACCGGCAACCACTTCGCAAACAATTTCCTGAGCTCAAAGGCATTGTCACAGATTTCGTCACGAACCTCATCAGGGATGCTATGTTTGGGGAAGGCCGTCTTCAATGCATTGCACAAGAGGAGCTTGAATCGACGACGTTGGTGTCGCTACGGCAGCGGCTCTTGGAGATTGTACCAGGTCTATCTGATCGGGGCATTAGTAGTTCAAGCGTCGCACGGCTACTGCTCCCTCTCACAACAAAGACCATCAGGTGTTGCCTGCAGGACAATTCAGCGTGGTGCGCAGTCAGTGATGTGCTCGATGTCTACGATGAACAGAACAGTTTTGGGACCGAGATTTGCGACACGGCCTCATAAATGTGTTACCTTTCAGAACTGGTACTTCACAACATGTTTTGTGGATTATTCATAGACTTGGTTTATGTGATGTGAACATAATCATTGTATATATTCTGCACTTTCATCTTGTGATCTCGTACATTTATTCTTGCAAACTGGACATATTACAACTGTGATTTATCTCTATGCCTTTTATTGCATTCAAATGTCAAGGAATACCGCCCTGCTGACTCCAATTTCAGAAGGTTCAGAAGGACATTGGAGTAACATTTTCATGGAATTACTCATGCTATTTTGGTAATGATTGGTTTCAATAATTGCCAATGTCAATTGATGTTTTATTAATATGTCTTCAACTCTGAATCACTGCTATTTTTCTTAATGATGAAAAAACTTCTTATGTTATGTTTGATAATTTCAAACATGACATAATTTTCTTGCCATTGTCGATTAAGAATTGTAATTATGTTTCTCATGAAATGTTCATTTTACTTTCTTCGTACAGTGTATTATTTTTCCTGAAAATGATAGAGCTGAATGTTCCTGAGAGTTATTTCTTGCTATCTAGGTTGGGTAGTTAACATGATCCTTCAAATCATATTTCAAACGATTGATTTTGTGACTTCGTCTTGCCAATAACTGTTAATCAATCATGGGGATATGATGTTAACTTGTTAATCTGTCTTTGCATCTTGCCTTCATACTTATACAAAATACTTACTGGGCTTGATGTATAGCTTTGGAACTCATTCTATTTAGTTTATTAAATGGGTTATACTAATATAGATTTGGAAATGTATCCATGCATGTCAAGAAATAGAGCTTTCCAAGATTACCAAGATTATTTTAACCTTTGTGCCTTGGTTCAGAAGTGAAAGGGCTTGAACGTAAACCAGACGCTGAATAATTTTTACTGAAGTAATGGTACTAAAATGTGAAAAATAATGGTACTAAAATGTGAAAAGTACTACCTCTTGCATGTCAAAGGATGTTGTAAATAAAATATATATCTTTCAGTGATCAATATGAAATCAATGAGTCTGAGTTTTAATAATTTTTTAAGTATGTTATGATCGTATGTAAGAGATAGTTGAATCATGATTTTCAATTAATGGAAACATTGATTGAGGAGTGAAAATTAATGAATAGAGAATGGTATGATTGATTGAATGAAGAGTGAAAATGAATGAATGAAAAATGGTATGATTAATTGAATGAATGAAAAATGGTATTGATTGAATGAGGAGTGAAAATGAATGAATGAAGAATCATATGATAGAGTGAATGAGGAGTGAATATGAAGGATGGTATGATTGATTGAATGAGGAATGTCAATGAAGAATGGTATGATTGATTGAATAAGGAGTGAAAATGAAGTATGATTGATAGAATGAGGAGTGAAAATGAAGTATGATTGATAGAATGAGGAGTGAAAATGAAGAATGGTATGATTGATTGAATGAGGAGTGAAAATGAAGTATGATTGATTGAATGAGGAGTGAAAATGAAGTATGATTGATTGAATGAGGAGTGAAAATGAAGTATGATTGATTGAATGAGGAGTGAAAATGAAGTATGATTGATTGAATGAGGAGTGAAAATGAAGTATGATTGATTGAATGAGGAGTGAAAATGAAGTATGATTGATAGAATGAGGAGTGAAAATGAAGAATGGTATGATTGATTGAATGAGGAGTGAAAATGAAGAATGGTATGATTGATTGAATGAGGAGTGAAAATGAAGTATGATTGATTGAATGAGGAGTGAAAATGAAGTATGATTGATAGAATGAGGAGTGAAAATGAAGAATGGTATGATTGATTGAATGAGGAGTGAAAATGAAGTATGATTGATTGAATGAGGAGTGAAAATGAAGTATGATTGATTGAATGAGGAGTGAAAATGAAGTATGATTGATAGAATGAGGAGTGAAAATGAAGAATGGTATGATTGATTGAATGAGGAGTGAAAATGAAGTAGGATTGACTGAATGAGGAATGTCAATGAAGAATGGTATGATTGATTGAATGAGGAGTGAAAATGAATGGATGAAAAATGCTGTGATTAATTGACTGAAATCCATGAACATTTGAAAGAAATATTAATGATTCATTGATTGACTGACAAGGGGAAAAATGAGGGATTCAATCAATGATTAAATGGAGAATATTGTTAATGATTGAAAGAGGAGTTAGAATTTAAAATTGTATGAGCAAATGATATATGATTTATTCATTGAATGAGGAAATGAATGGGAAGGGAAATTAAAGGGTTGATTGGAGAAATGGAATGTTTTACTACTGATTAAGATTGAAACAAAAGGTTGTTTGATAGAAAAGTAGAAGAAATTAATCAATGACAAAATTCATATAAAAGGAACTGGTAGTTCAATAATGCAAAACATGCATGGTAAAACTCTTCAGGCAGCAAACAGAGTCATTTCATTTTCGATAAAACAATTATAAAGATGAAAATGGAATAAAATAATGAATAGTATAAGAAGTCCTTAGTCTGGTCAAGTTTTCAGTGTCTGCCTAACGTGGTATAACAAAACAATCACAACTTACAAGTAAAAATAATCAAAGATAAAAGCAACAACCAAGCAAAGAAGGTAATCACCCCTGTCCACCCCCCCCCCTCCCTTTAAAGAAAAAGGAACATGAACCAAAAGTATTAATGTTCATCAAGTGATCAAACATGTGGGCTGTTTGGAATGATGGAACGCTAACAGTAAACATAGAACCTCAAAGAACATAAATCAATGTTAGTACAAGTGTATGAATGCTATGTGTCGAAACAACAAATAAAAGGCATGAAGAATGCAGGAGAAAGAAGGCCAAGAAAAGAATTGACAGAATCAAAAGGGCAATTAAAAAGAGAAAGTCAGGCAAGATATATAAAATACCCCTGAAAGCAACAGTAGATGGGTAAACAAACAATGTCAATAATACATTTCACAGTAGCAAACACTTCTAAAAAGTGCAACATGGTATTTATGCTCAGAAATAAAAAAAAATGTCATCATAATGTTCACACCTATGGAATGGTGATGCGTTTTTTTTCCTGAATTGCACGACTTTCAGAAATGTTTGCGACTATGCTATGAAGTAAAGAACTAACAAACTAAGATGCAACGTTACCATGTCCATGAGCTATTTGCCAGTGACCTATGTTGACCTCTCTGTTGTCAGCCATTGCTAAAGGAAACGATGCAATGTCTCCAGCTGCATAGATGTTAGACTTGTTTGTCTTCATGTACTGTGTCGGATCAAATAGATGGAGAAGTAGCAATTAAGATTAGAATAACAAAAGAGCATAGGCATTTAAATTAAAGCTGGTTTAATTTTCATTTTAGAACCATATTTTGAACTATCAACCTTAGACCCCAGAATGAAAACTACTGTTACCCCCCTTTTGAGGCGATCTGACATTTGTGCTGACAATATTTACTTCCAAACTTTCCATCGATCCATGAATCAATCCATGATAAACCTACCTTGTCCACACACACTGCTCCATGATCCGTCATCTTCAGACCGCTATCACTCAGGAAGTCCGTTGCCGGGGTAACACCTACTCCGAGGACACAGACCTCCGCAGCTATCGTCTGGCCATTCTTCAGGATGACCTTCTTGAGCTTGCCATCTTCACCTTTGAACTCTGACACACCGCTATCCATCACAAACCTGACTCCTTTAGATTCAGCAAGCTGGGAGGAGATCAGATAACAATCATTATAACATGGTATGCATATGTAGCACATCAAAGGGTCTCCTCTCATCTTATATTTTCCTTCATGAAGATAAAAAATAAGATAGATGTGTATATCAAACAAAATATTTATGAAAACAGAAATGTATCAACAATATCCCCTATCTTAATGTTTATGAAATATAAGATATAAATACATGAATGCAATGTGTTACCATCAATTTAACTTGGGCAAAGCCATCAGAAAATCATTTCCTTGGAAAAAAACATGTTGATTAAAGATAAACTTGAGTTCTGGTTAAAAACAAGAAAATAAATTCTCACAGAATTAAACAAAACTTACACTGAATGTTCAAGATTACAAATAAATATCATTTGCCAAACAATTTTGGTAGAAAATGTATAATGGCTGAGTAATGAACATAGAAAGATAAGGAAATCAAGGTTTCGGGGCCCCGACACCATTTGTGTAGTCCCATATACATCTTTCTGTGTACAGTGCTTGTTACTTTACCAAGACTAGGCCAAATTTATTATGATTTTGATGACTCCAGAACCTTGCAGTACACACCAATACTTACATGCTACATGATCAACTTTTTCTGATCCATTCCACACCCTTTCTTTCACAATGCAATGATATCGCATGACCAGAACTCAACTTTATCTTTAAACTGTAGCTACACACTCAACGTATGGTATGAAGTATAGCCTTGACATCACAGCTCAAAGAAATTTCATTAGAATGTCAAAATCCATATAACCTAGCTTGATAGTTTCCCATAACCTAATGAGATGTTTTTCATTTCGTTTTCATTTATTTTCAATTTAATAATACATGTACTTATAATATTATGTTTCCTGCTTTTTAGGTTGGGTGTGACAAATAATTTGAACAGTTGCTCCTGGAACTATTTTGTCAAAGATTTAGGGTTGCAATTAATTGAGCTTCAGGTTAGGATTAGCGTCAGGTGTCGGGTTGAGGGTTGACATTGGTTTGTGTTAGAAGCAATGTTTAATGGGGCATATGGTGTACAACCATCATTCATAACTGATTTATTTCTAGGAATACAGACTGGAATGACGTACCTTTTGTAATGCCATGCCTACTTTCTCTCCTAGTGAAGCTTTGTATGGAGCTGATCCTCTCCCTATGACGGTGATACTGGCTGATTTATCTGATAAGTAAGCTGCTACTTCCATACCTGGTAAGAGAGACAAAAGAGATGGAATCAACGCTCAGACGGCACTGAATTCAGGATCAAAACGAGACTTCTTCTTACTTCAAACTTTTAAAATCTTTCATACATATCTGCACTCTAGCCTCAAGAAACAAGTGAGTGGCTGCTATACAAGACAAAACAACAGCACTGAATATATCAAGCAGGACATGTAATGTCAGGATCTCCAATTTGAGTACGACTCAGGGAAACCTGCCTTTCTTTCAGTGGACACTGCTGAAGGAGCAAAGGTTGTCCCTGCAATGCCAATGAATTACTTAGATTAATTGGAGAAAGACACTGGTCTGGAAAGGCAGGAGCTCCCACAGTACAACACAAGTACACTTGTCTTGGTAGTAATTTATACACCACACCTACTTAATGTGAAAAGTTTAAGACTCCATTAGACAGATCATGTTGACAAAATGCCTGTCAATGATGGCCCTTTCATCTTTACATCTATTCATGCATTCAGTTTCTCCCTTACCAATGAATGAAGTTCCAACGATGACAACATTCTTTCCCTGTCCCTTCTCCGCTATGCTGTTTCCATCTTCAGGACTACGTAATAAGCATACTCCATCAAGGTCACTCCCTGGTACATTGAGTGATCTAGGTCTGTCAAGAATGCAAAATGAGAAGGTTAATGGCTTGCTCAGTGGTATAGCTATTGGGGAGGGAGCAAGTGCACAAAATTCAAATGGCTAGAAAAGGGGAAAGGGGGGGGGGGGAGAATAAAGAGAAAAGGCAGGCAAAGACAAGAAGAAACTGGGACGGACTCCTGCACCCTCAAACACTTAATTCAGCGAGAAAAACTGTGGCAGGCTCATACGTTACACTCGTCTCTAAGGGTTCTACAAAGTAACATTTATAAATGATAATACATCCTACCATCACCTCAGTCACACCAATGAGACCAACACCAGGCAAACAACAGACCAAACAAAAAATTACATTATATAATTTACAATTTGGTTTGGAATCAATTTTCGTGGTGTGACGAGGGTATTCATAAGCTGGTCTATGACAGAGAGATTTTTGTTGAGGATGACATACTTGCCGCCCGTAGCAATGACGAGGTAGTCAAATGAGACGTTCTCTCCGTCTAGGAAGGAGACTGAGTTGAGGACAGTGTCTATGGATGTGGCTTCCTTCTCTGTCATGACGTTGATGTCGTAGATGGTGAAGAAGTCTGCATTCCGGAGTGCTAGAGATTCAGGTTTGGAGTCCATCGCCTGTCAGTGTTAGATACATGTACTATAATTAGGTTTCATGTAATACAGTCATAGGTCATTCAGTGGTTGTCAATCATTCCTGTGTGACTCATGTGATATTTCAAGAAAATATATGTTTATTTAGTAAAGGTATTAAAATATTGGATTGGCTTTCAATCATCTTTCCCATATGACTACTGTTGGCAACCACACAAACGTTAATGGAATATTTTGTAAGATATTGGTAGTTTTTAAATATATGACTGGATATCTGACCAACAAAAATATTTTTCTTGCACAAAATGCAATTTTAGTGACATGACTTGGGTACTGTTTCAGGGCTTAAAAATGGTCTCTTGAATTTGTTATGACTTGAGGAATAAGGACAGGTGACTCGTAAGACATAGTTTATTTTATCTGCTCTGCGTAGAGGTTTTGCATAAATCAGCTTTTAATTATTACTTTTGCTAATTTAACATGTATATAGTAATTAATATCAGGGTGGGTTTCCCATTAACTGATCTTGAATTTGTGGATATGAATTTTGTTCTTCTTGACCATAACAAAAATTGAAATCGGCTTAGTGTTCAGCTTACCTTGCTGAGTTTGGGTCTATCATAAGGAAGATGTTTCTCTTTGGTTGCTATGATAACCTGACCTTTGAATCCTTCTTGTCGTAACGATTCAGCACATGTGACTGATGCTGCACCTGTTTCAATCAAATCATGTGAAAAAAGTAATTTAGTTATCAACTGTAGATGTGTCTACATGGAGTAAATCTGCTCGCTATACTGGGGCTTATTGTTGACACATTTGCAAATGAGGGTAAAGGTACTCCTAGATAAAAACAGGGGTGCACATATCAATCAACTTGAGACAGGTATTTATACTCCTGTCCTGTTGGCAATGGATGGAACAAATAATAACATTACACTCTTTCTGGATCATATGCACACCACACCAGACTCTCTTCATTTCTAATCAAGAATGCAAGAGTGAGCAAGACCCACAGGTTTTAGGGTTTTAGTTCCTGACAACTTGTTGGTACACTCCATGGATCAAATCACTCTTCACAACTTCCTGTGTTTATTATTTGTAATCCTTTTTTTGTTTGTATTTTTATTTGCCAAATAAAGACTCATAATAGGCCTGTCTTCATCAGCTCGAGATTGCAAAATAGCCCACTCTTTCTGATTTGGGATATAATCTAGAAGTTACAAACTGCGGCTTCATCAGCTCGAGACCCGATCTTGAAACTTGAAACTTGAGCTTGAGAAATTAGCTCGAAATATTTTGCTCAGCATTTGTGGATAGTGGAGTCTTTGGGCTGGTGAAGATACACCAGACTAATAGGGGGATATTTTGCAAACTAGCCCAAGATATCTTGGGATGATTATCTTGACTTAATATCCTGCTAATTGCAACTTCGGGCTGATGAAGATGCAAATTAACTGGATAATTTGCGATAGAGATAGTTAAAATAGTAGGATATTTCGCAATCTCGAGCTGATGAAAACAGGCCTTATGATTCTTCAAGATAAATTCCAAGGAGCCCTTCTACTCACCTCCACCTATGATGAGGGCTGTCTTGTCATCATCGGGTGATCCGATACACATCGTCTTTACTCTCTTGTGAGAGGCGAAGTCCTACAGAGAATGATTTGATGGCAGAGGAAAGAAGAGAGAGAGAGAGAGAGAGAGAGAGAGAGGGAGGGGGGGGGGGGGGGGTTGACAGAAAGAGAAAGGTTGATAGAGGAAGAGTGAAAGAGAGATAGAGAGAAAAGAGACAGAGAAAGAGAATGAGGGAGATAAGACAAGAGAGAAAGAGAGAGAGAGAGAGAGAGAGGGGGGGGGGGGGGAGAGATATGGAAAGAGGGAGATAGAGAGAGAAGAGGGGGAGATAGGAAGAAAGAGAGATAGAGAGAGAAGAGAAAGAGAAAGGGGGAAATAGGAAGAAAGAGAGAGAGAGAGAGAAAGGGGAGAGAGAGAGAGAGAGAGAGAGAGAGAATAGAAAGACAGAGTGGCAGACAAATAAAGGAGGAATTTAATAGTATTAGATCAATATTTACCTACATGGCAATAATATAGCTGTATCATGCTACATCGTATTTTTGTAAACAAATGCTCATGTGGTTAAAATATTCAATACAGGTATTGTAAATGTAACTTACGGTAGTAAGTCACTAGCACACTAATTGCTTATAAATGCAATAAAATGTATCATATTCCCAACAATGAGCTACCAGCATATGTATACCGGTATGTTTCTTTATAATGATATTGCCTCCATGAATGTATAATACAGAGCTGCCAACCTTGTGCAACCAAAAACAGGAACCATGATGGCAAAAAAAAAGGAATTTATTAAAACAAAACTTGTAACCACGCTCGACACACTTCCTAAGCAGAAATGTCCATTATTCATTTTCGTTTGTTTTTTGTTGTTGGTACTATTTGAGAAAAAACCCAGAATAATTCCAGAAACAAGGGAAACGCTCTCGGCGGTCTCGCATGCATTACGCAATTCAATATGATGAAAATGAGGTTGGGACATTATTTATAGGCAGAGTGGCCCATTAGCAGGCCCCCCCCCCCCCAATAAATGAAATCCTCTGAATATAATCAGCATTTTGAAGTGAGTACTGGCTAAGAATCATCAGAAAAATTATTACTATAATTCATACCAAGATTGATAACTTTAAAGCCCAAGTCCACCCCAAAAATAACTTACTTTCAATAGAACCAGAAAAATCAGACGAACCAATCAAACAAAGTTTGAGCAAAATCGGATAACTAATAAGAAAGTTATGAATTTGTAATGACATGAAAAACTTTGAAAATCACTACACAAATTGGCAACTCACTCATGAGTCTGTGACGTATGGTCCTCACTATCCACTAATTATTTTCTTTATATTGATAATATAAATTCCCTATTTTCACCCTAAGAATCTTATTTCTTCACACCAGCATCCAAGTTAGATTGTTAGTAATATGTTTTTGTGTGGATGCACAAATAAAGAGTAATTTTTGTAGAGTTAAATCATGAAAAATTGAATTTTGATAAACTATTTATATAAAAATCAATAATTATGAAATACAATATTCAGAAAATAGTATCAATTCTTAAAAATTCATAACAAATTCTGGGAAATGTCATGCATGCAATATGATGCAAATCATATAACCTGGGCAAAGGCATGGGGAAATCAAGTTTTGGGGGATAAAAAGGGAAATTAATGGGATTAAACTATATAAAGCAATTGATGAGTTGTAAGGACATGACGTCACAAACTGATAACCATCTTGGCAATTTGTGTTGTGATTCTCATTGTTCCATAGTTTTACATACTTTTTCAAAAATTCATAACTTTCTTATTAGTTATCAGATTTTGCTCAAACTATTTTTGATTGGTTTGTCTGATTTTTCTGCTTTTATTGAAAGTGAGTTATTTTTCGAGTGGACCTGTCCTTTAATGGAATATAAACAAATACTAAAAATTGATTTATTAATTCTCCTATTAAGTTGTGAAAACATAATCCAAGTCTACTGACCTAAAATGACCTTTGACCTGGACTTTGTGACCTTGAAATTGCGTCATGTGATTTGTGATATTTGATAACCCTTGTGTACAAGTTTCATGGAATTTGAACAAACACTTTTGAAATTATGCTAAAAATTCAAAATCTTGAGGTTGATACCACAACAAAGACTAAGTTTGCAGACCTGAAATAACATTTGATCTTGACTTTGTCACCTAAAAGACTAATCACATGATTGATGATACTTGATACCCCCTATGTTCAAGTTTCATGGAATAGGAATGTATACTTTCAAAATTGTAGCCTTTTGTTAAGTTTTTATGTTGATGCAACGACATAGTCTAAGTTTGTTGACCTGAAATGACCTTTGACCTTAACTTAGTGACCTGAATTTCTACTCACATGATTGGGGATACTTGATAACCCTTTAGTCTAAGTTTCATTGAATAAGAACTTATACTTTCAAAATTATATTAAAAATTCAAAAACTTAACCTGAGGTTAAGTTTTCGATGATGATACCACAACATAGTCCAAGTCTGTTGACCTGAAATGACCTTTGAACTTAACTTAGTGACCTGAAATTCTACTCACATGATTGGGAATACTTGACAATACGCAGACGAGACAAAAACGTTATGGTTGGCAGCTCTGTCATAGTCTCGCATGGGTGATATCATTCAGTTCAATACATAATCAAATAATGGAATGCTCATGTGATGCACCCAGTATAATATAAATAACCATTAAACCATGTCCCAGGCTGTTTGGAGTGATTAGTTCTACATGTAGATTAGTTACCTTTGAGTTTCCACCGACGATGACTTTATCTCCTTCTATCCTAACCTGAAAAGAAGCAACACACAGAACAAAATAAAAATAAAAAGGGAGCTGGTATCAAATTAAGAAATGAAGATAGTACCAGTAATCTGCTAATACATGTAAGTTCACTCACGGAAAGGAAATGATATGTTACGCTTGTACACTGATTCTTGTACACTTAGAATTTGAAATTATACCCATATAAAGCTCATATACATGAATTGCATGATTTCGGAAAGTGTCAAAAGTATTTTCCAATATAAAGAAATGGGCATGAAATTTCAGGCATATAATTGGATTTTCAACTGAGAGTTTTTAATCCCCCAGCTATCTCATTCAAACAATATATGACAAACAAGTTTATTTTTACAGGGCTACTATAGAAATAGTCAAGCAAATATTCATTTCTACTCCATGAAATAAAGTGCTTCAACACAAATCTTATTTTAGGTTGTTTTAGATCTGTGACATATCCAAAATTAAACATTACCAGGACTAATTAACGGAGCTGTTTAATTGGTCCATCACAATGATCTTGTTCAACGATTTACTTGAGATATACACTAAAACTAACCTCAAACTTTGGGACACTGTCCAATCCTGGGAAGTCTTCTATATCCCCCGTCTTAGTACTGAAACATGCACCATGCCATGGACATCTCACACGACCATTACATAATGCACCTGCAAGGGGAAGGAGAAAAGAGATATCATGGAGGGCAAGACTTAATTTTTAGAAATAAACTTAAACAAACAAAAACTAAAACAAAATAATTTTTGTTAAATAAAGGTTAGAACACACGCCTCAAAGGGGCGTCAATTTGATGCCTCTCAGAATTATTGCAAAATGAATTCAGAAGAATAAAGAAGTAAGAAAGAGAAGAAAGAAACAATGAAAAAGAAAGAAAGCATTTGCACAAAACTTGAGTTATATCCAGTATACTTATCACAGCCCCTTACAAATTGTGTACATTGAAACTGTTATATCAGAAATATATCTTCTACAGGGTCAGTAAGAATCAATTCATGAATGAATAAAGCAAACCAGGAACAAGGTGTTATAACATGCTTTGATACAGAAATTAATAGCTAAAAGAATGATAAAACTGGGAGGGGTGCATTAATGATAATAATTAGATGACATTCTTACAGGAAAATTTCTTTATACTCGAGACCCCATGTGTTACTCACCTTTAACCAGAGGTGCACCATAGTGAGTACATTTGTGTCCAATTGCACTGAACTCTCCTAGTTCTTTGACAAGAAGAGCTTTTCCTTTTCCCACATCCACCTCTCTCATCCTGCAAAATCAATTGTGAATGTTAAGGTGTTAATACACAATCAAGGATGACTATGGGGAATAGGAGCTACATACATGTATACACGATGATCTATAATCTATATACAAGTAAGAAAACATAATTGTTATTCATGGGTAGAATAACGGTAAGTAAAAGATAAGATGACCAATTCAGAACTAGAATTACGCAGCAGAAACATATCACAGGGAAACAAACATTGCCTGATAATCAAAAGTACTCTCTTACGCACAAAGGGCATTTCATTTTTCCTGCTCATTTATTAAATAGGGAAAATGAAATTAAGGCAAAACTTAATATGCATTAAATTGACATAAATGAAATGTATACAATTTTTTCACTCAAAATTATAATCCATTGCATTATTCCGTAATCAATGGAAAATGTAGATAATGATTGTAGGTGGCTTGTGCAATGACTGCTTTAAATTGTAGCTTGTTTGAATCTTACTTTCTGTTTTGAAGATTTACAATGTTGAAGAATTCATTTTGTAACTAAATGACAAGTTAGAAGAATCTGAACTTACTCTCCATCCTTCATGTCATCCACCTTACACACGACAGACTCCACTTCTAAGGGCTTGGCTGGCTTAGGGGTTGCCTTAGGGCCAGCACCAGTCCCATTAGCCCCACCAGCACCACCAGCACCACCACCACCTGCAGCACCACCACCTGTGGTGACTCTTACATCACCTGTATGAGTGGATTGATCATGAGGGGGTGAAGGGGAATGGGCGGGGTCAGAGTGAAGGGGGGTAGGGGAGGGCAGGGTTGAATCATGAGGGTGATTGGAATGTGAAACACTAGTTTGTACTGATCATGCAAATGGTTTCAAAGAACATGCATTTTATACATATTTGCAAATGAATGTATGTATGAAAAATAAAATAAAATATGGCCATATAAGGTACCAAAATACAAATTAAATGTTCAAAGACATAGGAAACAATCAAATGTTGAAATAACCATACAAAGTTAATAGGTTTATACATGGAAGTACGTGTACATATACAAAAGATAGATGAATGAAGCAAAATTTGTACCAAACAACATAGGATGTGAGAATACGATTGTGTAAAATATATATCATTGATTATGTAACAAAAAAATTAGAACAAAAAAATATGTTTCCACCAAAATGTTAATAGATTTAATGAATAAGAAGTAAAATTGCATAAAAGATGTCCAATGAGATCGTGATACCATCCATGTAATGATAACAAGACATGCACAATGAGAGTAATAATATTCATACAATAGGTACCATGGTGTCGTTTATCGATTGGAATTTATCACATTCCAAATGACAGAAGAAAAAGAAGGTGGAGAAAAATAAAACAAGGAGTATGTTAATATCTTCTTCTCTTTTTTATGAGAGAGGCTGGTCATATCAATAAATGATACATACATGTACATGTATACGGTATGCAAAATCTAGATGTATATGACAAAACATCTTGCAATTTTGCTTCACATTAATATACATTCAAAAACGATTTGTTGCTTTTGTTATTTCATTTATATTTTCTACAAAAGGGTATACTTGTACATGTATTTACTGTAGAATATAATTTGATTTTGGTAATTTAAACATTTTCTATTGACTTCAACATGTGCTATCTCAGATTTAATACTAAATGGGTCTTCATATTTGTTGAGAATGAAAGAATGATTCTTTCTGTCCATTGAAACCTTACCTTGGCTCACTGTCCCATCCTTAGATGAACACCCTCCCATGATTCTAACTTCCGCTAGCTCTCAAAGCTTCTACTCAAAGTTACATGTATACCACACTGGTATCCCCGCCACAAGATTTCTGTGAGAGAAAAATCATAAAATTCACAAGACAAAGTTATACATACCTTCATCATGGTTAGCTGAATTCTCAGGCTTACTCATAGTTGTATTTTTATGGAGGAAAGATCTGAAATTTGGAATATTTATGATCCTTTTCACGCAATCAGAGGTTCAATGTTGAGCTACATGTATGCATGCACAATCAGTTCGAAAAAATGTCAAGTCACAGACATGAATCTATTTATGCCTCCTCCTAAAAACAAAATTTTCCCCTGAAAAAGACCTTTCCATTATAAAAATTTCCCACTTCACGATTCAGTGAACGCATTGACCACAAATTAAGTTGGAAGGCCATCCATTCAATGACTTGTTGACCCAAATTGCCGTAGTTCCTTGAGTGGTGTTGACAATCATAATACATCAATTTATAATCATGGATTTTGCCCCTCTGAAAAAGAATATCAAAATACAACCAAATATAATGAGACTTTGAGTTCACTAGACCTCTACTAAAAGCTAGTTACATTCTTTGTTTTTAAAAAATAGATAAATATTAATGATAAGAAAGATTAAATAAATAAAAAAGTAAAAGCTGCAGAGCACCAATTTTATATCTCAAATATATCTTGAGATAGCTCTGCAGGGCTTGAAACCCCTGTTATCCTACTCAGTCAATACGACCCAGAGGAAATAAGTCCAGTGTAAATTAATATTCAAACACACAAAAAAAATTTTATTACCAGTACCTATGGTGACAGAAATTCTAATCAAGTAGATGTACTATTCCTCATTAAACATTTTCCTGCATATTTCGGCTCTAGCTACCATGCATCCTTCGTTGACAATAGAATGAATATGCTGCACAGAAGAGTAATATAATTCTATTGATATGTTCTCATCTTGCTCTCTATCATCACCCGAGGAACCCTTCTCTGAAGTGGCAATATTGATATGATGAGGGTGATACTACAGGATTTCAGGTCAATTACTTATGCAAATTCCATCATCATCCAGTAAAATTACGCACTACATGTCCCTGAATCTAATTGAGAGATATCTCCCTGAAAGCACTTTAATCATGCAGGCTCACTCTGCACTCTAATACAGAATTAATACATTAACAAAATGTATGAAACAGAAATTTAGAGCTTTTGGCTACTGTCCATAATGCACTGAAGCAAACTGTGCACAGGACTCCTTGATTGAATTATTGTACATTCTCATGAAAGTTGACACTGAAAACTGAATTTCTGATAAGAACACTAACTGTTATTTGAATGATTAGAATATCCACAAGAGATACAGAACCCTCTTCATTTCATGTTAGCAAAGAGATACTACTTCACCTTTCACTGTTTGTTTACTTTGATTTTAGCGTAACAATTAACAGTACATTATAAACTACATGTACATGTACCTGCAAGTACAGTATGCCATACACTGTAGCAACTTTAATCCAAGCAGATAAGCAATGAATTACACATGCATTGTTCTGCCAATTAATCAATAAATGAATGAATTGAAAAGAGAAAAAGACCCGACTGATATTCAAACATGCTCTAAAAATATCAATAAGTATTTATATCAATCATTCTCATTAAAAAAAAAATCTTTAAATGACACTTTTCCTTAATACCTGTAAAAGTCTATATTAGAAATGTTAAGACAAATTTGACAATATAAAGCCATTTAGATTACAAAAATGCTTACCAAAAATGCTGGAAAGCTGGGCATAAAGAAGCACAGCAATGTTGATCCTCCTCGATCTCCTCTGCTTATAGTAACAGATACTATATGTATTCCTCACAAATCTGTGCTAATCTGTCCGATCGCAAGAATAACTCTGCAAACAATGAACGTACAATAAATGAAAGACAGACCAAACCCAACACTGTAAAACAAATAACAAACAGCTAGTGCATGAAATGTTTCTGCTTAGTCATGACCTCCAGAACTATGGCTTCATCAGCAAGGTATATTCTGGGGTATAATTAGTGGTGAGGAGGTGGGGGGGGGGGGGGGGTTACATCCCCAATCAATGATTATTGCCAGAAAATACTCCTTCCAATTAACTTTCACTGCACATTTGATGCACTCACATCTAAATTTATTTTAGTTTGGTCTTCTATAAAAAGTAATATGTTTACCCCCCCCCCCCCCCATTTCAAAATGATCTAGTGGCACCCCTGGGTTCAATATCACACACATGCTGGCACCACAACAATTGTCTGTTCTAAAGATGAACAAAATAAATAAAGCTGGTAGGGGGTTTCATTAGAACTCAGTTGGATATATAATGGAGTACTTCACACACAGTATAACCTAGCACTAATCTTAGGCCAATAAAGAATTTCTTGTTTCTTGTCCCCTCCTCCTTCCCCTTTTTCAACCCCCTCAATTTTTTTAGTCATTTGATAGTTTTGTTCTGAAATCAAATAAATATCACCCTGAAGATGTCTATATAATGGGGTTAAAAAAAAAAAAAATCACATAATGTAATTTAACATTGTTTTAGCACATGTATATCAGGGCTCGACACTAACAGGCGCCCGGAACAAATGATGAAATGATGAAATAATGAAATAACGAAATTAGTTTTTTAACACTGAATTTAATATTATTTTATAGTGTGAAAGGTCTCTCTATGTTTTATCATATTCAGGCATATGATCTGTCAGACAACTGATGCTGTTATGCCTTCATAATTGCATTGGTATGTCTGTCGGAAATGGACACAGCAGTTGTTTAATGATGAAGGAATCTAAGTTATTTAGGTATTAATATCATTGTAGGCTATGTGTAGTCTGAAGCTGTATGATCACACAGACACTGTCCTAATATAAACAATAAGTGTCAGTCTCAGAGTCTATGGTCAGCAATTTTCACTGCTACTTTTAAAAGAATTTACTATTGAAATAGAATTAAAAGAAAGCCTTTCATGAATTAGATTTATTGTGAAAATTGTATAAATAAGGAAAAATACCCCCCTCCCCCAAAAGAAAACAATTTTTTTTTTTTTTAAATGCATGTACAGGTACATGTATACATAATAATAATAATAATAATCCGTTCTTTTATATAGCGCTCTATACACAGATCCAACGAAGTGCCTAAGCGCTTTACAGATATATTATTACATATCCCTTACCTCCATTAATGATGGACACTCTTAATTTTTGTATTTATCATCAACAAAAGAGATAAAAGGGGTCTGACATATCACTTTACTTGGAACCAATTTCTGTCCATATCTCTTATTTTTTATTTTAGTTCATAAAATTAAAGGACAAAGCCGTTACTGCAGTTTTCAAACTACAATACTAAACTGAATGGAAATTTGGTTCTCTGGCCTGGGAACTTGTAATTATTTATGATAACTTTAACAAAAATCTAATGCAGTCTTCAGTCAATGTGATTCTGAATGGTTTAAAGTCTTGTTGCATTTGACTTTGAGAGGCTTGTTCAACTGCATTCAAAATTGTGTACTGCTAAGTCAAAGTGTTAAACAAAAATAACAACAAAATCGATAAATTCCATTGACAATAATTACAACAACAAAAAACTCTGTTCTAGGTTCTCATATTACTAATGCCTGCTAAATAAACTTAGTTTGCTTTTCATAGGTGATTTCTTAAAACAATAGAGATACCACCAGTGTTCGTTAATGGTATACAACACTATCAGTTATAATTTACCATTCACACATATTTAATTTATTGATACTTTCACAAAGATGGTAATACAAATAAAAACTGTTTCTTATAAAGCACTGTACTAGTTACAGTGTACCCATCTAAAGTGTTACAGTAATATCACCCCAGTCACTAGATTCTGTTACGATTCTCCAAATTACAGTGTGCACACTCTCCACTCCCTTGGGAACATCCCAGCCAGTTGCTCTTTTACGAGCACACACACGCAAATCCAACCACATTATCGTTCGCATCCTACCGGGTACCCATTTAACACCTGGATTGAGAGGAGCAATGTAGATGAAATGACTTGCTCAAAGACATAAATGCTGAGCAGGGGATTGAACCCACAACCTTTCCATTCCGAGTTTAGTGATTGTGCCATTCGTCTACGACATCTTTATTGGAGAATGCAGGGTAGAAAATTTACTAACAGAGCTACTATCTAGTTCCAGTATTTTATGGTTTACAAATCGGAAGTGATAGAGGGGGGGGGGGGGGGGGGTGAGGTCTGGAATATTTGTTTTACATTACTATGCAACTAAAAGGAAAGCCAATCTAGATAGCAAATAATTCTGAATGAAAGCAGAAGAATCACATTTATTACAAAAAAAGAGTTACCACAAGCTCTCTGGCATCTCTTTGGATTAACTGACAGACATTAATTGCAGAAACAGTAAGACTATTTTCTTCAAGTTGTGATCATACATATGGGACCTAAGATTAATGAATGGGAGAATTGTTTCAAAATACATCAAAATCCAAGGACTAAATTGCCAATTTTAGATTTACAGGTGTACATAGATTTAGACTCAATTAGATTCAATTTTCAAATCTATCATATGGATAATTTCTGTCAAACTTTCACCAGTCTTTTCTCTTGTTTTTCTGCCTTAATTCCCACTTCCCACAGCACATAATCAGTTTGTTACCAAATAGATGGAGCCCACAAGTGTATTAATCAGTAAAACATGTCTTGCTCTTGATATAAGGGATTCTATGTGGCTACACTGTATTCAAAATATGAGCTTCAAATATTCATTTTACAATTTATAGATGTTCTAATTTAGATATATTCTCATTAAATAGTAAAACATCTTGCTGAATAGACTACTTAACGCACTTTAAAAAACGGCGCCAAGGACCTCAAGCCCGACTTCGGCTCCATGCACGTCCTATATGCTGAGTTTTATGTTATTCTTTATTTCTTCATGCTCCTTAACAATTTTTTAAAGGTTGATCTCATACATTCTAGCTGTAAACAAATTATTTTTCAGGTGATTGGTACAATTTAAGTGTATACGCATGTACATGAATGTGCTGTAGAAATGATGATAATAAAATCCGACTCGACTACTGCTACTACTACAACTACTTCTACTACTACCAGGGGCGGATCCAGGCCCCCCCCCCCCCCCCCTCCTGGCCTCAAAAATATATATTTTTTAAAGATGGTAACATTAATTTTACCTTTAAAAAAAAAGAAAAAAGATGCCCCCTCAGGGGAAAAAAGCTCCATACCCCCCCCCCCCAGTGAAAATGAATTCCTAATCAAATTATGGAAATGCAAGCATAGCCATTACTTTAAACAAACAGAACTTTCTCATTCCTGGCTCATTTTTCCTGATTGAGGTGTCATATGAAATGGCAGAAAATGAACTTTCTAGAAATGTAATTTTCTCTTTGAAATTCAGATACCTCCCACCAAATGATTTTTGGTACCCTCTCTTCAAATTGTTTTTAATCACTCATGCATGAAATATGAATCATATGAGTTGCATCAAATGAAAGAGGATAAGCTTTACAAATATATGTTACATTTATTACGGTAATTATAATGGTCCTTAAGTTATATGATAAAACATCAATAATTCTCGGTTTCGTTTTTTCTGGGACGCACTGTAGAATTTATTTATTTCATTTTCTGAGCTTTTCCCTCAATAATAATTTGGAACTTTCCATATTTCTCTAACTCAATTTTGAAAAGTCAAAGAAAGATAGTGAACACATCTTCTCTTAATTTGGAATAGACTTCAAAACATAGACCTAGGCCTTTCAATAATTTTGAGCGCAGATGTCATCAAAATTGTAAGTTAAAAGTGGCATCAACTGATTGTATAATATTTTGCCTTGCAAAATATGCAATTATCATCACAAAAAGCGATTTGATTGATAGCTTTTTGTGATAAATCAGCTGGAAACCCCCATGGCCATGCGAAAAGCAAGGTCTCGTTGTTTTCGTGAGTTGCAGCGCGAACACGAATTCGACATTAAATGTTTAGATCATGATATCTCCGGAATTCTTTGACTTTTGTCTTTGAGTTTGGTAATAAATTTTCTACTGTTGGCCTACTGTAGACTAGCTTCTGTCGTACTGAGCTGAGTTGCACCAATTTGTAATAACAAACTTTGCCGTCAATTTGGTAATAGTCTATTTGAAATAAATATATTTGTGTAGGTCTAGATCTAGATCTAGAATATGACTGTGAAATCATGAATCAAATATTACATTTTCTAAAATTTAAAATATCTGCAAACGTGGACTTTGGTAACTCTATCACTAAAATATCAGTAGGGTCTAGACTAGACCGAATTTTCCGTCTCTTTCGTTCGTTAGCCTCTTATTGGGCTAGGGTCGGCTCTCTCTTTAGAGACGGAAACCGTCTATACACATTCCCTTGATAACGCCACGGCCATTTCAGGTCGTAGCGTTTTGCCCCCAAAATCCCCCAAAATGTCATTTTACCTCGTGCATATCCACATGTAAATTAGGCCTAGATCTAGGCTATAATACATCGGTTCCACTTAACAACTTGACTGAAATAATCAGTTTAATAGTCCCTTTTTAGGAAATTATGGGTCAAAATCGAAATCCATTTTGAAAATCTTTTTCAACATGGATTTCGATTTTGACCCATAAATTCCTAAAAAGGGACTATTAAACTGATTATTTCAGTCAAGTTGGTAAGTGGAACTGATTTATTATTATAGCCTAGGCCTAATTTACAATATAACATGCACGAGGTAAAATGACATTTTGGGGGATTTTGGGGGCAAAACGCTACGACCTGAAATGGCCGTGGCGTTATCAAGGGAATGTGTATAGACGGTTTCCGTCTCTAAAGAGAGAGCCGGCCGACCCTACCCCAATAAGAGGCTAACGAACGAAAGAGACGGAAAATTCGGTCTAGGTCTAGATCTAGACCTATCATTGTCAATCATAAAAGAATTTTTCAGGATAGATCTAGATTCTAGGTCTACAAACTAATTATTTTCGCGTTCTATAATCTCCAGAAAGTACAACACAAATTTACAAGGATTTACATTATATCACAACATGTATGATGTGATGTACCATCCCTAACCTTGGCGGCGGGTAAAGGGCGGGGTTATGGCTCGATCAATCAAGTTCCAATGCCCCCCTTCAATTCAGCTGCGTGCAACGGTAACTCGAGGGAACTTCGCCCGTGCGCTCGGCGGACGGAGCTCCCTGGCATTGGCCTTGACTTGGGTTAAATGTCACAGCACCGTTCCTTGAATAACAGAATAACAACAGAAAATAAAGATAGAGAGTGCCAAATCTACCATTTAAAGAAACAACAAAACTTACCTTTTCCGTATTGAAGGTTATTCGTATGATTTCACGCGTCTGGAATGAGTAAATGATCGAAACATGTTTTTTTCAGGATACATCCTCGTTACAGGGATAGCAACGATAAATAAAGTCGTCTCCTATTTCTTTATATCATTTGTAGATTTATAATTAATTATTTACTATAAATCCGATTTTATTAATATTTTAATGATTTATAAAAATATTTTATTGAACTAAAAGAAGTTTTCAGATTATTTGAAAGCAGTGAACTAAAATAATTTAAAAGATCATGAAACGAAACGAATAAGACTGAACGAGGCCAGGTTATAAGCTGTCCACAAATTTGTCAAAATGGCTTCTCAAATGATGAACGTTTTTCGCCGTCAATTTTCTACTTCATTGACAAGGAGATCGACAGCAACAGCTCATGGCCCGGCAGCGGAAGATGCAGCAGGTATAAAATATGAAACTAATGTTTGTATATGTATTTTGAATTGTTAAATTTTGTGGTTTTCTGTCGGCTGTATTGATGGTGTTCTTGTTGTGCATAAAATTACCTAGCATTCATTCTATGCGGAACCGGCTACTCTACGCCACGGTATGGCCAGCGCCAGTCGCGGCCATGACGTTGTCTATGCTTTGTCACGTAGCCTAAAATTCTATGAGACTAAGGCAAGCCTTATTCCCCAAGGGCTTGATGATAATGTAAAATATGATATTGATATCACCAAGCCTTAACTGGTCCCCATAGATCTAGACCTGCGCAGCTGAGGCGGGTAAACAAACCCTAAATTAAAAAACAGATTTTGACCCGTAACTCCGGCGTGGCCGTGGAGATACCCTAGAGTAAAGGAGCCCGTAATCGACCAGCTCCCGTTTTCGGCCAATTGGTTGGATGCAAGGTAAAATCACTCTAAAATACATCGCATAATAGCATAACACATATCCCACACATACCATACCATGCCAGTGTCACTGAAGAACCACATTTGCAATGGAAAATATATCCTAAAATATCACATTTTAGCGATGTAATCGCCGGTCCCACTACCCAAATCTGAAAAATCGAGTATCTTACGCGTGTCTGTAAGAAATATGGGTACCATAAAATGAGCTTTATTTCAAGTATTTTTCAGATTTAAAGCCCGATTTTGTGCTAGTCGCAAGCTCAAAAGTATGTCATCACATGTATTAAATCAATGCAGCCGCACACCGCGACGCACACACGATATCTCTGTCTAATTCAGATTCCAACTTCCGATCACCGCTGTGCCTGTCTTCGGCCAGGCGAGCACCAGGGAGCTCCGGCGTGGGATACCTGTTCGCCCGCTTGTGCTGTACATCAGCGCGGAAACGCACGGCGCGCGCGAGCGCTTCCTATTGACTTTGTACATGCGGCCGTAAACTGAAACGCTCGGCCGATAACGGGCTCCAAAACAGTGAAAATTGAAATGAATATTGTCATGGCAATTCGTGATTTTTTTCTGGGATTCTTTTTTTGTTTAAATAATAATAATATTTGCTTCATGATTTGAACAAGAAATGATAATAAATAGGAAGTAAAGAGTCCTAAAAATAGGATTTTGTCTTAAGTGGCCGAAAACGGGCTCCTTTACTCTACTAGAAGTAGGGTGTCTGATCGCGCACCCAATGTTGTGTGCTAAAACCCTTCCCATAGAGATTGTACGCTTCCCTATGTGGTCTACGTGCATTGCGCGACCATCCAAAATTGGTCAATGATTTTATGAAAAAATTTGAAATTCAAACCTTAATAACAAATGATCCTGAAGGTGAAACTCAATAAATGAGGTATCATATGAAAGAGCAGGTTTTTCTCCATATTCCCCATCGGGGGCCACCCCCAGAATTCTAAAAAGATCTTGGTCAAAACAGCGATTGAAATGTTGTTTGCATCCTAGCTCCAAAATTTGCCACTTTCCTGAGCTCCCGCCCCGCGGCTTAAGCAGGGCTAGACGTAAGGATAATATCCAGATGCTTTTTTTTCGCTAGCCCCAAGGGATCATTTGTTATAACAGTTTGAAAATACCCTTCCCACATTTTTGGAATCAGCTAATTAGGGAGGCGTGAGCTCCGCTCAGTCCAAACCATGGTTACATCGCGTAACATGTGCGCTTATAGTGAATGAAAGTATGGGTGGCCGTTCCCGCCATAGAACCCGGAAGTGAATACACGTTGTAGTCAATGGCAATATCGCGGAGACAGTCTCCGCGATATTGCCATTGACTACAACGTGTATTCACTTCCGGGTTCTATGGCGGGAACGGCCACCCATACTAGTCAATGGCACATATCGCGTAGACAGCGTGGCTCAAGCTTGCAAGTCGCGCATTGGCTGAGCAACTTGCGTACGATATGCATACGCTTGCATATCGCGCGATACAGCTGTTTGGCTAAATTTAGCAAAACAACATAACTCTGCGTGTACGTCTTTTTCGTCGATTCTGAGCAAAATGCTATGAATATTTCAGCGTTTTGAAGGGGCTGTATCTTTTGATAGAAACATCGGCGAGACTTGAAATTCGAAATGTATTATTCTGATAACATTTTTAATTCAAATATCAAACAAAAATGGTGAAAAACGATCCCAAATTGAAAATTGAAAAATCGTTCAGACACCCTACTAGAAGTCTAGATCTAGATCTAGTAAAACATAGTCTACCCAAAATGAAATAAATATTCATTAAATGTCCAAAAAAAGATCATGAGTTAAAAATCGTAAGTTTTTTACCTGTTTCGTGTCAGTTTTCTTGTTATTTTGGAGTATTTTTCGGATAAACGTTGATATTACTAGTATATGGTGGTGTGACCAAAGTTCGCTATCTCAAAAAATCAGTAAGATTTCGAAAATCTGATATCACCAATGGAAAGAGGAACGTAAAATTACCCAGAAACGAAATTTTCTTTAGAATGGGGTGTGAAATTATGAAAATATTGACAAAAGATTGGCAAATTTTGCAGTCTTTTGCGTCACCGAATTTTTAGATCGCGATATCTCAGAAATCCTTTGACGATACATTTTTCTAGTTGAACCGAATTGTAGTAAACAACTTTGCCATCCATTTGGTAATAATTAAAATAAATAAATTTGTGTATAATATGAGAAATCATAGATCGAATATCACATTTTGTAATATGTTCTAAAATGTCCGCGAACTTTGGTCACCCCTTCATACACTTTTTCACAGGTTTCACGGCAAACCGCGTCGCTGCACAATACAAGTACATACCAATGGTGGGTTGCGGGCAGGCGCCTGTGTGAAGTTAACTACCGTAATGAGGATCTGAGGATCGATTTTCTTGATGCATTTTTACATTGACTTTGTACAGAGACTTTCACGTTTAATATGAGCGATAAATCCTTGGGAAGACGGACAACCCATAAAGTAGACGGTTAACTGGGGTTATTTTCTTACACGGAATCCATGTTTTGCATCGCCAGCGACCAGCTCCAGCTCAGGAAGCCAAAAACCTGCGGAGCGCCGATGACAAAAAATGCAGACGATCCTTATTTTTGAGGACGCATTTCTAGTCCGTGTTTACGAGGATATCCTCGTAAACGCCGACAAAATGCATCGTAAAAGATGAGGAACGTCCGCATATTTTCCAGACATTTTTTTTTATTTAAGCTTTATTTAAGCTTTATTTATTATTATTATCATCTAGATTACAGATCACACAGAAAATCATCTATCAAAATTGAATGGGGTTATGATTTCTTTTTCTTTCTCATGAATTTAGTGATGCAAATGTGATTTTGGTCCTACATGTCTATCTTTATTTTTCTTCTAATTTTTCTCCAATTTTCTCTCCCTGTTCTTTCCCAAGGACATGGTTATATACCATAATTACCTTTTGCTACTTTGGTAAGGTGAGGCACAATAAATTTGCCAACAAAAAACTATAAAATATTAAAGAAATTTCTTGTTTTTCTTTTCTTAGGTTCTGCCAAGACGTGGAAGTACATGTCTTTCCTGGTAGCGATTCCAGGAGTGATATTCTGCATGGTGAATGCTTACAAAGGAGAAATGGAACACAAGGCTCATTTTGCCGCTCACAAGCCTGAGTTTCATGCATACACACATCTTAGGATTAGGACAAAGGTAAGTCATATTTCATGAAGGGTCCTGGGTAGTGTTTCAAAAAGACTAAGATCGACTTTGAGTTGGACTTAACTATGGCAGGCCGTTCATGCCATTATTTTCTCTCATTATTTACTGGCATTGGTTTCTCAAGGTACGTACCAATCGTGGTCACAAACCTACAGAATTTACATTTTTTGATAGTTCATTATTGTAGGAAAAAATATTATCTAAAGATTTTAATTGAGAGGCCAATGGTGAGAGCAACCAGTGGCATGAATGGCCTGCCATAGTTAAGTCCAACTTAAAGGGGAAGTCCAACCTGAAATTAAGTTAGTTTTAATAGGAGTAGAAAAATGAGAGAAACAAGTCAGTGAAAGTTTGAGCAAATTCCGATTAAAAATAAGGAAGTTAGGATTTTTTAAGTTGTGATCAATCAAACACAAATTGGCAACTCTATGACGTATCATGCGAGCTCAACTTCCATTTGCTCAGTACTAAAAAAATCTAAAATTTTCATTTTCCCTCAAGAAAAATTTCAACCATACATGCACCCTAAATATAATAATTGCAAATATGTTTCTATACTGCCCCTGCAAGGAACAAATATATATTTCGTCATCAATAACGAAGAAAACATGATTTTATGGAATATTATGCACAAAGCAAATGAAGGAGAGCTCGTATAATAAGTCACAGAGTTGCCAATTTGTATTTGATTGATCACAACTTCAATAATTCATAACTTTCTTATTTTCATTCAGAATTTGCTCAAACTTTCACTCACCTGATTTTCTTATTATTCTGCCTCTATCGAAACAAACTTATTTTGGGGGTGGACTTTCCCTTTAAAATCGATCTTAGTCTTTGTGAAACACCCCCAAGGACCCTGTTTCAAAAAATGTTGTTATCAATAACAAATGCTAAAATTCTATGACAAGTTAGCTCTCAGCCAATCAGAAGGCACAATTTTAGTAGCTTATAACAGTTATTGTAAACAAGTTTTATGAAACAGGGACTAGGTTGA